AATAAAGATGGTCAAAACGCCGCTGGATCCGTCATGCATGTTTACACCACCATTTTTGAAACCCGGCAAAGAGAGACATGGCTGCACAAAAAGCCATACACCAAGCATCAGGTGCCTCAACATCCTCTGTGTTGTGTTATTGCCACATACAAATTACGTCATGGGGCTGCCTTGCTTTAACAACCCCACACACACTGAGATGGTGTTTATTTTTAATGGTAAATGAGTGAAGCCGAGTAGTGCAGCGTTGAGTAGGTACTAGTGGAAGAAGTACATGTAACTGTGTGACTTAACACATGAAACCAACTCTCAGGATCAATAAATGCACTGGTTGTTAGATAGCTCCTCATTCACACAAGCACTTTTTTCTATGCGAGTGCTTTCACACACATTCACACTTTGACAGATACATTAAAAAGCAACTTGGGCTTAGTGTCTTGGCGCAGCCAGTCATCGAACCACCCCGTGTGAAGTTAACTGTGGAGAGTGGGTAACAGACTCTCCATTTTCATTCGCCAAAAATCCTGCTGAGGCACATGACAAACGACATACTATGGGTAGAGAATTCAACCCCTATCAACCAAACGAATCATCTTAAAAATGCAACAAAGGCAGGTTTGAAAGCAAACTTTAAACAGGAGGCTTCAGTCTTTTTTTGTTTCATCCATTTTAACAGAGACTCTCCAGTACCCTTCCAGTTCAATTCAATTTATACAGCACCAAATCACAACAAAGCTCCTCAAGGTGTTTTTATATTAGCACGGTAAAGAGTCTCAATAACACAGAAAAAACCATCACAATCAGACAACCCCCTGAGTAAGCACTTGACGACAGCGGGAAGGAAAATCGTCCTTTTAACAGGAAGAAACCTCCAGCAGGATCAGGGAGGGGTGGGGCCATCTGTCAAGAGTGATTGGAGGAGAGGGCAGGAAGCCACTGGAAAAAGACATTCAAAAAGGATCTATGTCTTATGTATCTATATATATGATATTTATGATATCAAGTCAGGCATTCCTTTTGTCACACAATAAATGTACTTTATATTATTTTCAATCTGTGGATTATTGATAAAACACTTCCATTCAGTGGAACATAAAATTTAGCAAAGTTATTAACAATTTACACATTCAGTCTTTTCATATTTCATGAACAGCAACAGCAAAGCATAAATGCAGAACTTTATTCTCTCAGTATCTCAGTCAGTGTTATCCTGCTTTTGAGGACTATCTCAGTTCTTTACTTTCTCATTGTAATAAATTCCAATCATTCCCTCTTCGTTAAGCCTGTGACTATGAACAATGGTGGTTCCTGTGAAAGGCTAACTGCACTGCTCAACACAACTCTGGCAGCAAACTGACCAGAAAGAAGAATATGAAAAACTTTGGGGTTCAAACTATTAACTCCCATTACAATCAGTCTCCTTGCTTAAAAGAGTCAAACTGTGTAATTTAGACCTTCCTAAAGTACTTGCTTGACATTTTAACCAGAAAGTCTGTATTCATGCATAGGATTCCAAGTTTCCTCGTAACCTGGGGTGAAGATACATTCTTTTCATTTTTAAACTGATGAGCTTGACCCAAATATCTAGCCTATACCAAGAAAGTGAATCACAGGATTAAGGACTCAACTGAGGTGTACACAGTTATTACTTAACCGTCACTTTGAAACTATAGTTTTAAAATATTTAACAGGAGCTCTGTGTAACAGCTTATTAGAAAGAGGAAAATATCAACAATCAGCCCATGTGAACATTTACAAATGAGAAACATAAGACTGATCCAAAGCTTAAGGAACTAATACTCAAAACTGCAGCGTGGAAGTCTGTCCTGCATCATGTGACCAACACATGACTGGGACTGTGAAAGGAGCGTTAAAGCACAACCAGGCTATAAGACTGAAAACTGACTCATAGACAGCAAAGACCAAAACCAACAATTTGCACGTAAACAGTGGATCCATTCACACAGCACGTGCTGTATACAATAACCAGATCAGCAACAGGTCATGTATGCTAAGGTCAATTATTTAGGGAACCGTAATGACAAGTT